AAGTTAATTTGAATGCTGCTCCTGAGAAAACACAAATCCCAGTTTGACCTATTGCGATTGAATATTGACTTCACCTTAGGCAAACACAGCATGTCTCAACTAAACTCTGCAAGGTTTCTTTTCATAATACAGTCAGGACCGATGTCTATATCTTGTTTTGTTCTCATTGATCAACGTCATCTCTTCTGTCTCATTAGTAAGAGTGCAAGTTTCACCAGAACATTAAGTGCAGACAATCCTTGCTTTCTTTCTTTTTTTTCAGTTTTCTTCCCTTCCTGTACATATTTCACTGTAATGAGGCAGGTGTCATACTGTTTAGGGCAAGACTATAAGATGTCAGAGAACAGATCCATCGCAACTTCACACAGCCAAAGGCGATGTCTTCAAACTGTGTTTTCTGTCAGAATAAGAGTCCTTAACACATAGATGTTTAGTTGATAATGATATGAAACAGACACAAGCAGCTAATCATCACATCTGAGAGATGTTTTGTTGTTTTTTGTAGGTCACTGTTATATCAATTTACAAGTGTTGGTAGATACATTAACAGATGCAAATGTCGGAAAAGGAAAAGAAAAAAAAAAGGTACTTCATAACTTTGGTGTTTAAACCCTGCAAATCCAACACTGGCCAGGACGCAGTCCAGCGCATAAATTTGCAGCGTTGCAAACAGTGGCCTGATTCCTTCAGAGAGATCTGGGAAAGCTGCCTTGGTGGAATCAGTATGTCAGAGTCTCTGACTGTTTACACATCTAACGTAGAGCGTATTGTTTGCTCTACAGATTATAAACAAGCCCGTCAAGGCAAACTTGTGATCTTGGGCTGTGTAAATAAATCTAATTTGACTTTAGTCAAAAATTGGACAAGTTTAGAGTTTGAAAAATCGTATACTGATAATAATTTTCTCTACACAATTCATAACATGAACAGTTTGAGTGATTTGATAAGCTTCCCTCAAATTCTAACGCAGTGAAATAAACACTACTACTACTTTTGTTGGACAAACCGAAGAATGACACCGTTTCAGAACATATTTGTGGCAATTCTGTACTTAAGTTTATTGTCCTTTATAGGCTAATTTATATATGCTACGAGCTAAACTCCATGGGGCTCTGGATACAAATAACATTTAATTTTGCCACCAGTAAGGCTGCAAGATTATGTCCAAAATGATCACGGTTATGTATCGCAATTATTCATTGATTATAGGGACAAAGTTTTTTATTGCAACTTGCACTCGCATGTAAACTGTACCTTTTTACCTCAAATTAAATCAACAAAACACTGCTTTTATTTTGCTGCTCTGCCACAATCATGCCTATTAACAAATCTTTGTATCAGCCTTCAAATAAGTTGGGCTCTCCCCTGAATTCAGTGCATCTCCTACAAGCTAAATATAAATCAAAGTGTTTATTGGCCACATGTCTTTGGCCAAATGGAACGCGATTGCATTGGTTATTTCAGTCTGTCTATGGGAGCTGGATGATTCGGTGGTGTGCTGCACAGCGTCCCTGGATGTCTAAGTTGATGCTGGACAAAGACAGGGAATCAGTGAAGTCAAGTTAGCATGCAACTATCGTACTGTAGTTTGTGGTGTTTTTTTTTTTTTAAAGGTGGTTCAACAAGTTAGTTTTGCTGCTTTGCGGCCCTGACAGAGGTCTCATGCACTCAAAATCCGAAATACCTCCAAACAATGGATGATAACCCTGGACTAGCTCTCTGCTTTCTGCACCAGACATTTGATTCTGACAGGCTTCCGCTACAGGTTGCTGCTATGACTTTTAGTTTAGGAAGCGCTTGATTTGATAGCAGTGGAGTTTGCTACTGGGGAAACACACAAACAATGTCAATCTTGAAGTCGCTCAAGTTCTTTTAAAAGAAAATTGTGATCGATTTTAGTATTCGCTTAATTGTGCAGCCCTTGTCACCAGGTATGGAAGCTTTTGGTAGGTAGGTAGGGCTAACCAGAACTAAGCAAAACTTCTGGGAACATATGAATGGGAAAAGGAATAAGCAACACTTGACACAATTGAGTCTGATGCCCTTGAGCACACCTCCAGTTGCTACATCACCTCAGTTGCACCACACCACTGTGTTATGCCCCATTTAATTCTCAGTTTTTAATATGTGCAGCTGAATGAATGTGCAGTGCAGAAGAACACGTGTGCATGATGAAAACCTTTCCTGGAGGTTTAAAAATAGACTGTCAGGCCTGTCACCGAGGTGCTGATGACATGCTAGTGGAAGATAAGTACCATACTCTGAGCCCAATTTGAGCCTGAAAACACTCCCTTTAAACTCGGAGGCATCGACTCGGCTGCTCTCAACAGTATTGTAATAATGACTCATTATCATGTGTTGCTGGAAATAGCTGTGAAACACCAGAGATTTCAAATGTATGTACAATACAGAGCATACAGACACATGTACTGTATATACATTATATAAGACGCTGATAGCTGGTAACTTATGACTTGATTATTTACACTTAATTGCACAAACTGCTGCCTCACAGCGTACCCAATGAATTTGTTAGGCTTGGTAGAAAATTCCTTCAGAGTTAGCTGGTTCTTGTGTTCTAGTCCCCTTAGCTGTTAGCCAGGAGGAGGGCGATATAGAGTAATATAAATGATTACAGCTCCCAGCAGTATTTTAGTGTTCATGTCAGGGTAACTCACAGCGTCTTATAGAGACGGCTTATTAAGCCTCAGAGAAAATGGAACATCACATAGCAAAGGTCACCTACTGTAACTACATAGATAACCAGATGAGATGTGTCAGATCTGTCTGCAGCTCAGCAGGTGATTGATTGATCGCATCATACATTCACTTTGTAGTGATTAATCAGAGCAGCTCATCTGGAAAAAGAGAAGCCTTTAGAAAACTTGAGATAAACCACCCAATCAGTCACAACCAAAACCCTGAATTTGTATTTAAAGTGTTAAAAATGGTGCAAAGATAAATTGTATACATGTTAATCCCCTTCAGACAAATGCTACAGTGTTAACAAATTAATCACAGTACAGGTACATCATGAAAATACAGCATGAATATAGGTGTGGGCAATATGGGCAAAGTTTTCGATTGTGGTATATTTAATTTGATGTCACAGTAGAGGTATATATCACAATAGAGTAATCGCATTTGATTATTTTAGTCTTTTATTGTAAGCTTCCATGCAAAAAAACAACCGCTGCACACCGGACAACACTTGAGTTAAAAACAAGACTGAAAATAGGAAAATTAGCATTATTTTATGGTTCCTGAGAACAGTAATTTCAAGTGTTACAGATTTCTGTATTTATAACTTCGCTCTCCTCCTCCATGTCTGACCAAATCCTATAACCTTGTGAGGCAACTGGATTCACAAGATCACTGGATCATGCAGAAATCAGAAGATCACACAAGAGTCTCAAGACTTGATTTGCTACATAGCCAGCCTCCATTAGCTCCCATCATAGAAACAGTATCGCCAGGTCTCTACCAGTGGACACATTTATATCATTGCAGGGTGTATATCATCATGTATCCGTCCTTTACGGCAGACTCTATTCTTATTTAACTTTTTCGTCTTTTTACTGTTTTAATTGCTGTTTATAATTCTTGATAGACGGTGCTACTTACCTGCCTTATGGACTTTTTTCAGCACTTAATTGCGATTACTATTGTGTACTTGTATCTTTGTCCCCAATTCAATGTGAACTCAGAGCATTGCTGTAAAAGAGCTTAATGCTCAGTCAGGTTTGATATCGCCCAACCCTAGTGAAGACAAAATAAAAGACAATCTCAGACCCATCAGCTATAGACTTACGGCAGTAAGATCTCTGGGGTAAGGGCCAATATTTCGAGAGATCCGATGTAGCCAGCGAATATTCAGGCTAAGATTTCCTCTTCTGTGCGCAGGTCATTTCCGCCAATCACTACAAACAGATACCTGCATATGATTGCAGGTAAAATATAAGGCAAAATCACCATCAGGCATAGCAGATGGGTTCCGAGCAGGGGCGTCGTTTCAGCAAAAGCAAAGGTATGGCAAAATGACATGACGTCACAGAGCTACTGATGATGGAGTTTCAAAAATATGATCTTATATAAAACTTCACTTTGGTCTTTGACCTGTCAGAAGTACATACTATGCTATTGAAAACTGTTTCAAAGGACATGGAGCTGTTTCTCACATTCATAATACCTCATGTCTGCATGTAATGCACAACTTGGTGAGAGCAGTGAAAACATCGGACCTATTTCGGCCCATATTCCAGCACCACGGACAGCGAGTGGACGTTTAATTATCATTAGTCATGTGTTTAACTTCACAGAAAATAAAGAAAATAAATTAATTACAAGCTCATTTCTAGAAGATAACCAAGGGGTCCGGTGTATGAAACACAGTAGAACAAAGGCCAATTTGGTACAATACTGTATAGGCGAATTTATTGGAGTGTCTCCAGAGACCGAAAATACAAGCTTAACATGCCGACATGAAGAAAAAACCCCCACCTACAATCAGACAGGCTTCAAGACATCATTTAGACAGGCTGTCTACAGCAGCAGAGCAAAATGCTTTTACAACACAAAGATAACTCACATAACTGATAACTCACGGAGGAGCGAAGTGGCCAACAATTTGATTCAATAACACTCGTATTCACTAACACTCGTATTCACTGATGAGCATATTATTGACCTATTTAAGTGCAATACAATGAAAACAACCAGCCAGTGCGCCTCGAGTAAGATGACTACAGAACCTCTCTCTTTCTTTTTCTCCCGATTCCAAGGTATGGCAGCTGCCATACCTCGCCATACCTAAATGACGCCTATGGTTCCGAGATTGCATTTCTCCGAATGCGTTCTGCCCCTCCACATACACTTAACTTGCCGTTCAAACGTGATTCGTCATTACTTCTTGGACTACTATCTATTTATAGAGATAAGTTAAAAGATAGCATTGAGTTATCAGGACTGAAAACTGAGGTAGCGTGTGTTTTTGCTTTCAGCTCCTGGAGCTGTTCGACAGTGAGGACCCGAGGGAGAGGGACTTCCTGAAGACCATCCTGCATCGGATTTATGGAAAGTTCCTGGGGTTGAGGGCCTTCATCAGGAAGCAGATCAACAACATTTTCTTGCGGTGAGAGAAATATTGTAGAGGTAGCCAATGTGACAAGAAGTCATGTCATGTTAAAGACGTCTCTCTATTTTTTTATTTTATTTTTTTTACCTTTTCCAATTTTCCCTAAACGTCACTACATTTCGTAGGCACAAACACATTCGCCTCAGCCTCCTATAACAGAGAGGAGAAAGAAAATGTTCAGAAGGAGGCATCCAGTATTCTTGTGGCTCCTGTTGCTGGGTGACAATGGGCTTTAGACTATTCAAACAGGGGCCACTTGATGTCGTTTCCAACAGGCAAGGTGGCAAAACGGGTGCACCCACTTTGACCATCTGCCACTGAGAATAAAAATAGTGCCACAGTTGTCAGGCTCTGTCTGTACATACCATGGCTGCTCAGCAGATGGAGATGGGTTACCAAACAGAGGAGGTGAATAATGTATGGATCATTAAGCTGCGTAAGAGCAGTCAATTTAAGGGCCCCTGCTAAACATATTTATTCTCACTCGCATATTTTTATGGGACTTCTTATAGAATAAAACATTTGCTGTCTTTTTATTATAAAACTTCATATAAAGGATATAATATTAGAGCTCACTGTCTGCATGTGTAAAAATCATGGAGCCCCAGTGTAATTGTATCTATAAAATCTGAATCCCAAATCAGAGTGTCAATATTTGAAAGGAACACAGTATTGACAGCAGCCTGGATCAATTGTTCTGAACAGTGTACTCTGGCTGTCACTGTGTTCATGTGTTTCATAATTTCTGTTGCAGGTTCATCTATGAAACGGAGCACTTCAACGGTGTCGCTGAGCTGCTAGAAATCCTGGGAAGGTGAGTAATAATGTTTGGTCATTAATATCTCTTTATATCATGGTTCGTTTACCGACACTCTACAACGCAGGGTTGCACAACGAAATGCAAGTTGTAGTCCCTTTATGCTATATGAGAAGAAGAAATAAGTATTGGTATACTGTATATCACCATTAATGTCCTCTGGCTTGAAGTACTGATTGTGTAAACAAAACTTAAAAGGGACCTATTATGCTTTTCCTTATTTTGTAAAGTTACAATATTGGATGTTCATATTAAATGTGGGCAAAGTTTTAAATAATGAGGTAAGCGTATATAAGAATACTCCGTGAGTGTTGTCACAGCATGGAATTTCTAATGTTGACACATAACCTATAAAAATATCAATATTCAGTTTTATTTTCGATACCACAGTGAAAAACTGATATTCATGCCATTAAATTTTGAATTGTTATTATATTACAAGGCAACGTTTCTTTTCTTGGTTAGTGGCCGAGAACAGCAGAATGATTGTAGTAAACATTAACAACAAGAAAAAGTGAGAAAGTGCAGATGGTATCGGAGTATTGATGCTCTGGAAAAATGGGTATTGAATCCGTTTCAAATATTCAGAATTGACGCGTGTCGATAAATCGATATTTTGACAACACTAGTTTGAGTGAGAACCTTAAGTTTCAGGCCACTCTGATAACTCTTTGTCATTTACATTAATGATAATTTTTTTCAAATTTGGCACAAACGTTTATTTGGACTCAACGATGAACTGATAAGAATTTGGTGGTCAAAGTCACTGTGACCTTGTCTGTCTAATTCCTGTGAACACGATATTGAAAAAAAATGCCTTGAGGGAATTTCAATTTGGCACAAACGTCTACTTGGACTCAACAATGAACTGACTAGAATGTGATAGTCAAAGGTCACTGTCACTGTGACCTCGTCTGTCTTATTTACCTCGTCTGTCTTATTCTCGTGAACAGGATGTCTCAAAAATGCCTTGAGGGAATTTAAATTTGGCACAAACTTTCACTTGGACTCAACAATGACCTGATTAGAATTTGATAGTCAAAGGTCACTGTCACTGTGACCTCGTCTGTCTTATTCTCGTGAACAGGATATCTCAAAAATGCCTTTTAGGGAATTCAAATTTGGCACAAACATCTACTTGGACTCAACAATGAACTGTTTTGATAGTCAAAGGTCACTGTGACCTTGTCTCATTGCTGTGAAAGCTATATGTCAAGAATACCTTTAGGGAATATCCTCTTATTTGGCACAAACGTCCACTTGAACTCAATGAACAAATTGGTGGTCAAAGGTCAGTGTTCACAGTGACTTCACAAAACATGTTTTTGGCCATAAATCAGGAAATCTTATGCTAATTGTGACAGAACTTCACACATATGTCTAACAGGATAAAAAGATTGAGTATTGACATTTTATATACAAAAGGTCAAAGGTCGACTTCACTGTGACATCATTATGTTCTGCAAAAACACTTTTCTGCCCATTATTCAGCACGGAGGTATACAACAACTGCAATGTCGGTGTGTAGACACATAGAGCAAAGATATAGAAGACCCAGAAACGCTGACCAGTCAGAGCAGACTGGGCTTTTTCAGGAGGGGGGCTTAAAGAGACAGGCGCTAAATGGAGCTTCTCAGACAGAGGGTAAATACAGGTTTTCAGCACAGACAGTATGAGTAAGGTAAAGTGGTTTTTTACCATTAAAGCATGTAAACATTTTCTATAGAAACCCCAAATACATGTATGAATGTGAAAATGAGCATAATAGGTCCCCTTTAATGAGGTCTACAATAATACATTCAGTGACTGGTTAACACCTGTCTGTCCTTTATATATTTGGTAATACTGACATTTTTAAATAGTGTAATCAAGATGGATTAAAAAACTGTAATCATCAGTACATAAAGTCTTGATCCCGTCTCAGCTTTACTGTAAACAGTCCAGGTTGTGTTGTGTGTGTCTGTCTCTCTGCTCAGTTATCTGTCTAACACTGTGCTGCTGGTTTTGTGTTTACAGTATCATCAATGGGTTTGCGTTGCCTCTGAAGGCAGAGCACAAGCAGTTCCTTATGAAGGTGCTCATCCCACTGCACACAGCTAAGGGTCTTGCCCTTTTCCATGCACAGGTAGGAGAAATTGCCTTTAATAATAACACCATTATTTTGCTATAACTCATGTTAACTTTGGCTGCGCATATAATCTTTTTATTCCTGAGCTGCACAGAAACTATTCATCTCAGCAGGATTAAGCACTGTCATGATGTTCTCTCTGTGCTTTAGCACTTCCTGGTGGCTTGGATGTGTAAATGCACTCCTTTCAGTGATAACCACTGTGTTTCACTGTTTGTTTGTTTTTTAAATTTCTGTCAGTATAGTTGGAATGTACAAAAATAGTAACATTCATTAGAGGTTTTCACTCTGAATACATATTGAACACGAGAGATCTTTGCTGAAGATGTTCTGGGCAGTTTTTGTCTGATGCATTTTTTGAGAACAGTGTGTTCTTTTACTGTTTTTTCTTTTTATGTCCCTCAGCTGGCGTACTGTGTGGTCCAGTTCCTGGAGAAAGATCCTACACTCACTGAGCCGGTACTTATTTTTATCATTCCTCCCACTCAAAGCACAAAGCCTCAAGCACTAAATTAGTCTACACCACAGAGAGATGTGTAGTGGGCGCCAGCAGCCACCCACTTAAACAGACTGTTTTGGGTTTTTTTACCATTAGAGAGAAATTCACACGAAATTCTCTGTTATCTTCTCCGTGCAGGTGATCCGCGGGCTGCTCAAGTTTTGGCCTAAAACCTGCAGCCAGAAAGAGGTATCGTGTCTATGATTACATTTCACACTTACAACTGCTGTGAACCAGATCTTTAATGTGGTGTCATGTTCCCTACCTCGTATCTAACTAGGTGATGTTCCTGGGTGAAATTGAGGAGATTCTGGATGTCATTGAGCCAACGCAGTTCAAGAAGATCCAGGAGCCGCTGTTCAAACAGATCTCCAGATGTGTGGCCAATCCACACTTTCAGGTACTTTTAACAGGGACTGTTCAACTGTTGTGAAAATAATAACCATGGTTTTTTCACGATCATTTAATGTGATACTTATTGGCTTTGACACCATCATGCATTTATTGACCATTAACTCTGGTGTTTCTTTTTAGCACAGAAAAATACAAAAAATGAGAACAACACTTTTAAGTCAGTAAGTGGCCCACCCTCATAGTCCAGGGGAAAAAAAACAGAAAGTAAAGTGCAACTACATTTTAAAGCCAACAGAGCAAATGCTACTGTAATGTCAATATTAAAATGTCTCATGAGACTGATGCAGAGGCAGGAGCAGAGGGGCCTTGACCTTACTATACTTTTATTACTTGGTCAAACACCACCTTGTGAGTAGACTTCAAGTGCTGGAACAAATTGTGTTGCTTTGTGGTGCAGCTACGACCGTGTATCACATCTTACATATGATAGTAGTTTGTCCAAGTCTGACTCAGTGAAACCAAAGTGTTTCCACACCACAGTTTGTTTTACATTTCTTCTGAAACATCAGCTCTGTTTCTGCCATCTTCTTACAAATTCTACCGAAAAATATTCAAAACAGCCGGAGAGACAGTGCATTGTGACTCGCTGTTTTAACTCCTGCTGAAACTTGTGGACTTTGGAGGGAGGGGCTGAGCATATCCGCTGCGAAGGGGGGTGCTTAATTTACAAAATGAAAGACAAAACAGGAGCAACATTGGTAGACTCGTCATGTGGCACAAAATCTCACTTATCTTGTTTTGAAAATCGAGAGAAGCCAAAATCATAAAATCCCTATTTATGACAGAAACATACAGACAATTCAAATCATTATACAGCCTTTGTCTTTGGCCCATAACCCTTGTCACACCATTTGATAAATGTTTTACAAAACACATTTTGTAGTTACAGGCAGACAAAAGTGTTGACATACTTGTCAACTACTCTAAATCTTCCTGTGGGCACCCATAAGTGGAGGCTGGTGTGTTAATAGATAATCAGTTTTTAAGTTCTTTCTTTATTTTATGCACATCAGTTACAATGAAGCAGTCATTTTGCAATGAAAATCTCAGATTTCAGGCTCCATCAAACAAATTCAGTGTTGAACATTAATGTGTTTTGCCCTGTTCGGTAAGTGGGTTAAAAATCTATTTCCTTTAAGACAATTTTTACTTACTCCTAAAGAATAATTTTATTTATTAGTGGAAATCAAATACAACGAAAACTTAAGTTAATTATCATGTTTAATATTTATTTAATTAAACTCCTGTGTTCAGGATAATTGAAATCAGCTCATAAACTTTTCTTTACCATTTTCCCATAAGTGCCGGATCGGTATTACGCTTGTAAAACATTCAACACAGATGAGAAGGAAGTGAGATGGCTCATTCCTTAGATACTGCCATTGTCAGCCCAACGTGGCACTTTACTTGCCATTCCTTATTGTAGAGCCCTGAATGTGAATTGAATGTGTATAGAAAAGAAAAGAAAACCTTTCAGTCAAAACAAAACGAGAATCTAAGACATAAAATAGTGCAACATAGAAATAGGGATAAAATATAATCTGAATAAAATATAAAATAAAGTTTTGTGGTAAATTTGTGATAATTAAAATTGAATTAACGGGTAAATAAATGTAATAATAACAGGAATGTAGTAAATGTATATGCATAATGGGAAGTATAAATATATACACACACACACACAGGTGTGAATAAAAGTATATAAAACATAAAGTAACTATATAATGGATGAAGATGTCGTAAAACACAGTTAAAATATAGAATAGGTTTTGTCTTGTCTTTATAAGAGATGTTATAATACTGACATGTGTCAATGTGTCACCAGCAGATGCACATATATTTTTTGACATTTGATATATAGCAGTGACTCATAATCCCACGTGTTCTTCTGGTAGGTGTTTCTATTTTTTGTCCACACACTATATATATCCATGAGTGTAGGCTGAATATCAGAAACGCCTCTCCATATAATGCAACACAGTTTCGGAACACCACAGACTTCATCCAGTGATCATAAAGTTTAATAATAACACCTCTCTAAAACATTTTCAGCTCAATCAGTCGTAACTTTGATTTTCAGATTAAACTACATTAGTTTTAGCTGCAGTATGTGTACCTAATAAACTGGCAACTGAGTGATTTTCCTCGATTTCTCCTTTTTAACACTTTATTGTTTTGACAAAAATATAATAAATAGGGAAACAGAAAAAATAGAGTATAAAACAAAATGAAGCCATATTCAGTTTGTCATGTTGTCGTTGACATGCAAACATTGTCCATTTCTCCCATTTCTCTCGACATCGCTCCTCTTGAGCTCTCATCCTGTGACTTAACAGTTCCAAATCATATATTTCACTCACAGTTATCTTGTGTTGGTGGTTCTTCTTTGTACCATCTCTGCATGATGGCCTTTTTACAGTCTGCCTACAAGATTTTCAGCAGATATCTGTCTCCTCTTAAAATAATTCCTCCTGTCATACTGCCAAAGAACAATATCAAACATGATGGAGATAAATCATTGCTCATATGAACATTTACCTAAAACGGCACAATTTCAAGACCGAGCCAAAGTACATGGTTACAATCTGCTGTCATGACGTTTATTCTAAAGTGACTCGGGCACTTATGTGAAATTGCTATTTCATGTAAGAAGTGCATGTCTGAAAGAGGCTTTGTTCCCTCTGTCATCTGAACCTCTGCTGAGTTTACCCTAATGGAAATCATGGAAGAGAGAAGAGGTCTACATCATTAAGTCATCACAGTCCCACTCAGACTGCGGGCTTTTATGCTTCTCGTTCTCTGTCCTCGTAGGTAGCGGAGCGAGCGCTGTACTTCTGGAACAACGAGTATATCCTCAGCCTCATCGAGGAGAACATTGACAAGGTCCTTCCCATCATGTTCGGTAGCCTGTACAGAATCTCCAAGGAGCACTGGAACCCGTAAGTGCTGCATTGACGTTTGATTCATTCGAGCTGTCTGACTGACTTCACAGTTATTTACATACAGTGACATGTGCCAGGATAGATTACCATGGTAACACCAGAGGGGTTAGACCATCTGCTTAACAAAGAAAACCTGTCACATTATGGAGAGACACTAATTGATTCAACCGTGTGTGAATCATTGGATTCTATGTGTTGTTCATAAACATCGATGCACAGGAATCTGCCTTCATGTGCTGCTGCTGAGAGTGTGTTTATACGTACACATCACAGCGTAGACACCGCCATGATGATGTCAGTGTCTCACATCATTTACTGCTATGCTTGGACATAAATGTAATATAAACCTCTGCATACATTTTCTGTATTACTGAGGTATAACTGCATTCCAACATGTCTCCATGTGGGAATTTAATTTGAAAGGACAGACACAGGAAGAGGCCACGCTCACGTTAATTTCCAGAGCTGGTACCTGCGGTTATTCCACAGGCTAGTTAATAACATGTCGGGCAGGAAATCCGAAGTGTGGGATCATTTTGAGAAGGTGAAGGACTAACCCAAGGTTATATGTAAACTCATCTTCATTGGTCGACTACAAACATGACATATCATCTGAAACATGTTAGTTGCTACATGCCCATTAGCCACTTAGCACAATCATTACTGCTTTGCCGACAGCGTCATTAACAGACGGCTCGCTCAGTGTGTGACTTGCACTTGTAGATAAAATATAGGCCTATATTAATGAAGGTTCATTAGTACGGTTTGTATTTGGTGATAATTTAAGTGACGTAACCACTAAGTGAATACACAGAGTTAAACCTTGTGTTGTGTGTTGTGTTTTACACCGAGTATTTTTGCTGTGTTGCAGGACAATCGTAGCTCTGGTCTACAACGTGCTGAAGACGCTGATGGAGATGAACTGCACGCTGTTCGATGAGTTGACTTCCTCCTATAAAGCAGATCGGCAACGGTGAGTTACAGAGCCATGTGCGCCGTAAATGAGAATGAACACCTTTATCTAATAATGGTTGACACCTACATTACAGATCCAGTTTCAGCAGCTGATCCCAAAACAGTTTGCCATGTACACTCCATCAGAAAACATTAACTTCTCCCTGACAGAGTGAATCAGTGCAGCGTCTCTGTCCTGCTCCTGCTGGTTCTCTACCAGCCAGTTCAATCATTCACCTTAAAAAACCAGATGTTAATTTTGTCCGACAAGCACTGTGAGTTGTTAGACTTTTCTAAATCATGTCCAATTGATTTAATATACCACAGCTGGACTTCATTCATACATCTCACAGCTAATTGTCAAGCAAACAGGATGCACCTCAGCTCAGTTTGTAGGGCTGTAGCAAAGGGTCTGGATACCTGTGTAAATTTGTCAGTTTTTGGATCATGTTCCTCCTCAGTTACTGTCATGAAATCAAACTTGCTTTAAGTTATACCTGCTACACTGACACTGAACTATTATGACCTGGCTGTGGCCAAAAGGGAGAAACACCATGTCAGTGTTTAGCAAAAGATATTTATTTACAGTCACCAACTAGCATACAGGTGACATGATTGAAGTCTACAAGCTTGTTCACAGAAAATATGATATTACAGCTGAGCCTGTCGTCCACTTTTGAAATAACAGGTATGATTTTAAAGGGGACTCGTTAAAATGATTCCCACTACAGTGATTCTTTGAAGAGAGAAACATGGAACAAACTTCTAGATGATGTCGTGCGTCAGGGTCTGAAATTAACTGTTTTTACTGCCTGCCACTGTCACTTTTGAAACCTATTTGCTGAATGAAGGAAAAATATTTAGATCATTTAGACACATTTATTGTAAAGAATGATGTCATTATATTATATATTAAAATTATTTTGATCCACAGTAAATTCCAGTGTTGGAACAAAGTGCCCAATGAATGAGTCCTCAGAGATACTCTATAACAAAAGATAGCGCATTACAAGCTGCGCCAGTGATATGAAATGGTATATACTTCAGTCTCCTAAGTGGGTGTGGGCGTTTCCTCTGCATACCTCCTCTCCTTTGGATGTGTTGTAAACGTCGTGTAGATGGATAAAAGATTAATCAAACACTAACCTCACTAAGCATGTCTGTTTTGGGTTTTCCCTGATGATTTTACCCACAACAGCCAACAATTTACCTGCATTTGTGTATTTGTGCATTTGAGTGTAGGAAGGTGGAGAGTGAGTCTGTAATTGTAACTGTACGAAAGCATACACAGCAGGTCATTACACCTATTGGATAGTAAAAATGCAACCAGCTGGCGTTGGGGGAGGGAGACAAAGTGAGAAGGTGAGGAAACTGCATTTATTTAAGAGGTGCTGAGGTGTGCTATTTAACACTGTATCATCATATGTGTGTAACTAACATGATATCAGTGTTTCTATCGCGACACCTCCATTTTTGGACTTGTAAAAGCCAAGGTTTTTCACACATTAATTTAATTGTGGCGGCCCGCCAGGATTAAAACATCTGCTGCACTGTTGGAATATATATAGTGTTTGGTGATTCATTGCACCACACTCTCAGAGCGCAGATCGTCAGGCTCAGTGAAAATGAAACTTAACCGTGATGTTTGTAAATAGACACATGACAAAATATTAAAGTGATGGAGAGAATTTGTGTCATTTACTATTTTTGTTTTGTCTTCTATGTTGCTGTCGCAGGGAGAAGAAGAAGGAGCAGGAGCGGGATGAGCTGTGGAAGAAGCTGGAGGAGTTGAGGCTCAGTAACACCAATCTGGTCCAGAACAACAGCCACGGGCTCCCCAATGTCCAGAACAACAATAACAACAACAACAACAACAACAACAATAGTAATAACAATAATGACAACCAGGACAAGAGCGCTGAGGCTGCAGCCATCACCACAGACAACAACGACCCTGACGTCAGCGCGGCGGCCAGCGAGAGCACCCCGTGTGACAAATGACAGCGGACGCCAGTTTTTTATTCCGTAAGGGTTTGACATCGTGTTCAGGACTGTCAGGAGAGGATTAACGGAGACAGAGAAAAAACACAAATTACACCTCAACAGTATATTAAATCTACTTAGAGTGACTTAGAACGCCAGCATTTCTTTGGCAGGAAAAAAGATATATATTTCAACTTAAGACTATTTTTGGATGTTACATTGTGGCTGCAGTATATTGTTTATTTGTCTGATCAAAGATTTATCCTTTCACATTTAGTTTCTTAACTGAAAAAGATTTTTTTTTTGTTATATTCGTTGTATGATACGTGGGAGGGGAGAATAATGACTTGAATTCAATGTTTCCGATTGTGCTGCACTTAGACAAGCTGAATAGCTATTTAAAGATGTCTGTTTTTTAATGTGCTTTTCCTTGTTGCTGCCAACACTTGGGTGTAAACCTTAAGGAAGAAGGGAACTGCGGATGTTGGGAGTATTTGGGGGGGAAGATGGGACCAGATCCATTATTAAACATTTAGTGTCCATAAATGTATAGAAGCAGACTGTTACCAGGAGCAGAGGAAGCTACAGGACAGATGGAGAACAGGAGGTGCATGGCAAAAAAAATATAAATCCTAAAGAGTAATAATCCCAGATATGGACTTATATCTCTGTATGTGACTCTAGTTGAGACTCTCAAGGTAAAACCTGTTCACAATTAGAGCAGATGTCATATTGGAGAGATTATTTTCCAGTTCCAGGTGTTTGTAAATATTTTTTTATCTGGGTGAAAACCTGAAATTAATAGTTGCAAAACAACACCTGTGTTTGTAAGACTACACTAAAGTATTGAGACAGGGCTTTCAAAGAGTGAAATGGTTTTTTAGCATGACTGGAATTAAAGGAATAGTTCGACATTTTTGGAAGTTCAGGCTTTCTTGCGATATAGAGGAGCAAAGATGAGGAGATTGATATTTTCATGGTAGCTATGAAGCTATAGCCAGCAGCTGCTTAGCTTAGCATAAAGACTGGAAACGGAGGGAAACAGCAAGCATTGCTTTGTCTAAGGGACACACCAGATACACCACACCGACATCAAGGAACTAGCTGAAGTTGGCTGCTCGGGCGTGCTCGGCTCTAGTCTCTAATGCCCTTCCTCTTTGCGCCCTGTGATTTGGAAGCAGCACTGATTATCTGGGTAGTTTTATGCAGCAGAAATAGAGACTTTTTACTTCATGTGCCACTGAGCAACTTTTGTAGGAAGGAACAGAGTCCCAGCTTCAACGCTGTATCCAGGAAACTGGAAGACCGACGTTAGCACCTAAACAACACAACCCGACATTGAAAGAACCAACGATATTTACTGTGTGCTAGTGAACAATAACGCAAACATTTATGAAATGACTTCGCTAGAAAGCTCAATTGCTAGAAAAAATAATCTTACCTTATATAACAAGTTTGTATTGATTTAACACCCTCTTGACTTTAGCCCATTGTTTACTTTCTCACTTTCGTTTCTCCTCTTTAACTGCCAATCAAAGTGATTTCTCTCACTGACAGGCTCCGCTGTCTTGGCACTGATTCAAAATGCTGAATCAGCTGAAGAAAAGCCAGCAAGGACCGGTGGCGAGTGCCAATAGTACAGGACATAATGCAAAAACTCGAGCGATACACGCTCACCGACGGCCCACCACAGACTAAAGGCCGACCTTTCGGCTTGGTACGTTAGGGCCCCCACATTCCTGGTAGATTACCTCGCAATCGTCGTGACCAAAGATAAGATAGTTTTTTACCTTTCAGAGTTGTGAGTATTACAAACCGTTGTGCAGTGTTTTTAAACCTGGAGCTAATTTCATTGTCTCACCTGTACCTTAAAGAACATGTCCCCACCAACGCAGCCCCAACGACGTGGAAAAACAGTCTGCTATTTCAGGGAAGGCTACACACCGGACCGTTCCTGAATTGCTGTTTTTAACACTTTGGCTCTGATTAAACAAACCAAATAAAATGTGTTTATTAGTGAGCTTTACAGGAGCTGTCAGGAGGATTCGGTTACCCTTGGACGGAGCCAGGCTAGCTGTTTCCCTCTGTTTCCAGTCTTTGTGCTAAGCTATGCTAAACTAAGCTAGGCTAACTGGCTGCTCTGCATAGCTTCATACGTAACGTACAAACATGAGAGTGGTATCAATCTTCTCGACTAACTCTCGTCAAGAAAGCAAATAAGCATATTTCCCAAGATGTCGAACTTTTCAATTAAAAGTAGTAGATTAAGAAATAAGTGAGACCTACAGTGCTATATTTTTATTGACGAGGCAAATATTTTTGAATGTTTAATTTCCCAGATGGACTATAACGGGATGCCGGATGCGCTTGAGTGTATATTTGTTGAGTGCGTTTATGTGTATATGTTAGTTTGGAGGCTACTTAAAGGGAAATGCCACTCAATTTAAGATTTTCTGTACAGTATCTTGTTCTGTGGTCCAGGAAAGTGCAGTCAGTGCTTAGGAACATGAATGGTTCTCTGTTGACGCTGAAAAGCAGAGACTTTAACTTGTCTTACCACTTATCTGGTATTTTACAATGCACAAGAGGCTGATTTTGTGTGTTGTGATTTTTTTTATATATATATACATATATATATATGTATATATATATATATCCAAACGAGGCTCACGATGAAGTAGTGATATCAAGAATATGATGCTCAACACCAGAAAATCCGAGTAAACTTTACCATCAATGCCTGTTGACTCCCTGTATCTCCAGACTATATAACCTCACATTTGCTTTTAGTTTCTGACGTTGGGAGTTGATAAATGTGTTCATAAACTTAATCTGACTGCTGTAGATCATAGGAAACGACTTGTGACGACTTTCTTTTCTTTTCTTTTCTTTTTTAAATTGAATGGTGTTCCCTCTGAACCCGGAGTGTCTGCTCTTCTTCTAAGGTCATATTTTTAGGTCCAGTCTTTTCTGATGCCTTTCTGTCAGTACAGCATTCCAACCTCTGTGGCGTTAAAAAAAACTGTGTGGGGAACCTGTTTTGTAATCGCAGATCTTATTTAGGTTTCACCATCAAATAAAGTCTACTTTATCTTTCTACTCAAATCATGTGTGTCTTCTTTTCTTTTCTCTTTCACTGGAGTGTGTTGAGTTGTAGTACATTACAGTGGGCAACAGATGGTGCAATTTGTGTCTCCAGCATTGAGCTCCTGAGCCATTCATATGACAAATGCTTTGCTTTCAATATCACCAGCCACTTTTTAAGGTACACCTTGCTAGTACCAGGCTGGACCCCTTGTGCCTTCAGAACTGTCTTAATTCTTGGTGCCACAGATTCAACAAGGTGCTGGAAACATTCCTCAGAGATTTTGGTCCATATTGACATGATAGCATCACACAGTTGCTGCAGATTTGTCGACTGCACATCCATGATGTGAATCTCCTGTTCCACCACATCCCAAAGGTGCTCTATTGGATTGAGATCTGGTGACTGTGGAGGCCATTGGAGTACAGTGAACTCATTGTCATGTTCAAGAAACCAGTTTGAGATGATTTGAGCTTTGTGATGTGGTGCGTTATCCTGCTGGAAGTAGCCATCAGAAGATGGGTACACTGTGGTCATCAAGGGATGGACACGGTCAGCAACAATACTCAGGTAGGCTGTGGTGTTTAAACCATGCTCAGTTGGTACTAAGGGACCCAAAGCATGCCAAGAAAATATCCCCCACACCATTACACCACCACCACCAGCCTGAACTGTTGATACAAAGCAGGATGGATCCATGCTTTCATGTTGTTTACACCAAATTCTGACCCTGCCGTCTGAATGTACAGTCAGGTCCATAATTATTTGGACAATGATACAGTTGTCATCATTTTGGCTCTGTACACCACCACAATGGGTTTTAAATGAAACAATGAATACCTGCTTAAAGTGCAGACTCTCAGCTTTCATTTAAGCCTTTTTTCAAAAATGTAGTATGAACCGTGTAGGAATGACAAGCATTTCTTCACACAGTCCCCCAACTTTAAGGGCTCATAAGTATTTGGACAAACTAACATAATCATCAATTAAACAGTCAGTTTTAATACTTGGTTGCAAATCCTTTACAGTCAATGACTGCCTGAAGTGTTGGACACATAGACATCATCAGATGCTGGGTTTCTTCCCTGGTGATGCTCTGCCAGCCCTTTACTGCAGCCGTCTGCACTTCCTGCTTGTGTTTTGGGTGTTTTGCCCTCAGTTTTGGCTTCAGCAAGAGAAACGCATGCTCAGTTGGATTCAGGTCAGATGATATGACTTGGCCATTGCAGAACATTCCACTTCTTTGCCTTAAAAATGTCTTTGGTTGCTTTTGCA